GAAGTCTTATGGGACCCAAAATATTCTATAGTATTATTGTAGTACATCAAAATATTCTTCATTAATATGTATTATACTCATAAATTGAATTGCATCGTAGATACCGGAGATAGAATCCATTAAGATGCACGTTCGAAATTGATTACCTATTCGAACACTTTTAATCATTTTCGTTTTTAAAACGTCCTCCATAATTCATAGCTATTCAGTGGCACATCTAGAAGTCATAAACATGTCTCGCACACGGTATTATGAGAATCGTTGACTATTGAGAAACGGACTTGGCAATAACCCCTGTTAAGTAATTATGCCTCTATCCTGATCCTTAACTTAAGAATGCAATTAAAGAAAGTCTATAGATTGCCTAAAGGAAACTAGATTATGACAGCCCACTAGCGCCACCTCAGTCAATTTCAAAAAGGTGTCATAATATATTGACGTACTGTGGCTGTCTTGTAATTTTTCTTTTATTGTATTTCTATGCCTAAGCAGGTTTTATATATTTTGTGACACGTCTAACCGCGATAGCAGCGCCTCTTACACCGGGACGGATAGCCGTTTGACTATTTATTGTTTATTTTTATTTGACATCGTTATTAGCGCGCTTACCAGGTCCTGTCATTAAAAGTTAATGTAGATAACAGATATATGAATAAATCATTGCGATCTATTGCAAGAGACGGTTTCTGCAGTACTTTAACAGTTCCATGAAAGGATATTCGTATTTCGATCTCTCGTTACTACGATTTCTCGAATTTAACTCGATACGATTTAACTTTGACAATGATCAATGTTGATGATGTTCAATTATTTCTTAAGAATTCGTTTAATATTACAAGTGTTCTTTGCAATATCCAATTTCTGATTCCATTTAAATATCTCTTCTTTTAGTCATTTGACTTTTATTTACATTTATATTACGTAATGCAATACTTACATAGTCCACTTATATTTAGTAGTTACTAGCTATCGCCCGCGACTCCGTCTGCACGAAATTAACAAAAAAAACATTAGTAGCAAATCTAAGGGAGATTCAAGCAGCCGTTCTGGAGATACCTTCAAACAAATATCCATCTAAACATTCGCATTTATGTTAGTAAGATGAAGATTTGCTGATTTTTTTTTACAAATTGAATTAACTTAATAGCATTGTTTTGTTTTGTTTGCTTATAGTTTTTAATGAATACCTAGATCTTATATGAAAACGTGTCACGATTTATGTTCGCGATAAACTCCGAAACTACTAAAACTATTCTTAAATTTTGTAAGCATCTGTAATTCAGTCCAACTTTAAAAATGGGGTAGTTTTTAAGTCAATTATTAACCTTTAAGTGAAGGGCAACAGCCAGTACTACAAAATGGTCTTGACAGACAGACGGACGGATAACAAAGTGATCCTATAAGGGTTCCGTTTTTCCTAAGAGGCCTAATTTAGTCATCTTTCCCTTCCCATCTTTTTCTTTATAAGGAAGGGATGGGAAGTGGAAGTGGACTTTCCGGATGAGAGGATGCATGGGAAGGGAAGATATGTTCTTTCTGTGCATCCTCTTCTCCGTCGATTAACGGTAGGCAACGCATATGCAATCGCGTATGTCTATGGGCAACGGTCATTTCGCTATTTCAGCGATTTCAAGTGGCCGCTCGCTCGTTTGCAACCTTATGATATAAAAATACGAGGTACGCTAAAAAAATGAATATATTAGTCTTTTGAAGTTTTAGTATCTTCTTTAACTGAAATGTAGAGTACAATTTCTTGCCATTTTATCTACATTCAACTGCAGTATTACATTGAATGGAGCGTTGGTGAGAAAACGTCGCATAGTTCCGTTCCTTTATCGTCGCCGGAGGAATCTTATATTTCACTCTTGTACAAGAGTTTAATAATCGCCAATATATTACAAATGCCATTTTATTGAGCTTCAAAGTTATGAATATTATATTTAAAGATTTTGTACGTTTTAAAATTTAGATTTAAAAACGAAGGAATGTAATTCTATGCCATATAGTCTTTTTTTATATCAATAGGTGGCAAACGAGCAAGCGGCCACCTGTGATCGCTGAAATAGCAAAGTGACCGTTGCCCATAGACATACGCAATTGCATATGCGTTGCCTACCTTAAAGTCGTATTATTAATTGAAGAACTAAGTCATATATTACCGTACTCAGATTCGTAAATTAATAACTAAGAGAGACTTTTAGTGTAGAATTTTCTGTAGCGCAGAATTTATTTTTATCTTTATATATATAATTCTTCTGTGCGTGTGTATGTCACTGAACTTCTCTCAAACGACTGGACCGATTTTGATGAAATTTTTTGTGTATGTTCAGGGGGATCTGGGAATGGTTTAGATTCAAAATTTTGTCCGCCGGACAATGTTTTTTTTAATTTATTAGTAGTTGTTGATTTTGGAATGTTTTACATTGGATCCGACAGTCGGCGCTACCATTGCAGTGTCAAATTTTAAATAATATTCGAATTAAAGACGTGTAGGCAGGACAACGTCTGTCGGATCCGCTAGTATGTATATAAAATTCGCGTGTCACAATGTTAGTTACCTCCTCCGAAAAGCCTTGAATGATTTTTATGAAATTATATATGCATATTCAGTTGTTCTGAGAATCAGTTACCAACTATTTTTTAGCGCGCGGACTTAGTCGCGGGCGAGAGCTAGTATTTTATAAAACATCTGAGTAATCTTATCATACTTAGGGACAAGTCCTAAAAATCTAATTTACACTAGATTTAGAAATAGATATTGTCAATTCTAAATCTTAAAGTTATTAGAAACTTACTGGTTAATTACTAGAAGTTTGAAAGGATATATTGTTCAGTTTGTACAATCTAGTTTAAACCTGACATAGTGAGGTGCGGTAATCTTCTGGCTATCGATATGTCGATATCTGGCAATTACCCGAGCTGTAATGGCGGATTATCCTCTTGGCACATACGTGTCGATAAAACGCCAACTCTAGTCGACCCGAGGATTACCAGCCAGTTATTCAAATACGTATACAATGGATATTACTTTATTAATGAGAGATTTTGCAACATAGAAATACTCATAAAATCATAAATGGCACAAGTGGTAGAGCCCGCTTTAACATCTTCGCACGAAACCTGCTAACAAACATCCATCTATCCATACATCCAAACATTTGCATTTATAATATTAGTAAGTTATGTAATACATTTTCATAATTAAAAATTATTTATTAATTCAATGGTATCATAAGTTACTTCACTTAATTATCAATTCCTAGTAATATTGAAAGTTTTCCCAGAAAGCGTAGATTCTCCGAAAATGCTAGTTTTCAACGTCTCGACCTCCGTTCTGAAAAGCTATAATACCTTTATAAAATTTAAACTTAGAGACCTTACAATCCTACACACAGCTTCCGAGAATAGCTTACTTGAATTTACACGAAAGTAATTTATTAACCTAATAATTAAATACAAGTATCTAAGCTTTTATACAAGAGAAGGCAAACGAGCAGCAGGAACATTGAAGTGATGAACGACACCCATGGATATCCACAACACCAGAGGAACCAACGATGCGTTGCCGACCTTTGAGAAAATGATACGCTAGCTTCTTGAAGGACCCTTAATCGTAGCGGTAGACCATTCTACAAAGCGGCTGTACGAGGCAGAAAGTTTCTCGAAAATTGCACGGTTGTGGATTGCCAGTCGGTTATAAAACACTTTGTTACTTTTGTTTCTTCGAATAGAAAGGGAATATAATATTTTTAAAAGTATAACGGTGTTAGTATCTCTAACTGTATCGAGGCGGTTGCATTTATTTATATGATAAGGTGGCAAACGAGCGAGCTGCAACCTGAAATCGATGTAATAGCGAAGTGACCGTTGCCCATAGACATACGCAATTGCATATGCGTTGCCTACCTTTAATCGATGGAGGAGAGGATGCACGGAAAGAAAATATCTTCCCTTTCCATGCATCCTCTCATCCGGAAAGTCCACTACCACTTCCCATCCCTTCCTTATAAAGAAAAAGATGGGAAGGGAAAGAGGACTAAATTAGGCGTCTGGGACGCACACTCATCAGACGAAACGGGGAATTGCTTCCACTTGACGCCCATCTTCTGTGTGGTCGTGGTATTTCACCGGGTGAGCCGGTCCAATTCGTGCGATGTTAAAGCAGACTCTACCACTGTTGAAGAATTAGTTTTTCTATAACATTTAAGTGTAACAGGATGATTTAACTTTATAGTTTACTTGTATGTATATGCAATCCATTGTTTTGCATTTTGGAAGTCTGCCAACTCAATGGTCATA